GGTTCCGTCAGCAGCACTGTCCCGGTGGAGGGGGTGGGGGCGCTGGTTCAGTCAGTAGCACCGGCCGACTCGTGGGGCAAAATGGTCGCTTTTAAGGACAAGCGGGCTAAACCAGATTCTGGAGGTTTCCAGAAATCTTGACCTACACCAAAAGTGGGCATTGCCCTACCTATAGGAGAAGTTTGGTTTCATTGGTGTATATTTTTTTGTTTATAGAGAAAACTCTCCTTGTCTTTTAAAGAAACTGAACAAGGGGCCAAAACTTTACCTTCGATTTTCTCAAAACAGCATTTTTCGGGATAGCCCTCTTGTGCCTAAAGGGTGGTGCTGCAGTTAGAAAAGCCAGTTTGAGGCCAAATTACACAAAATGAGATAATTACACTTTTAAAATTCCTGGACATGTCCTGAACAATATCTAGAAAGTACACACGCCTCCCTGCTCCCTATAGTGATGTTTGGGGAATTTTAGAGCCTAAGGTCAAGTCTTTTTGAGAAAATATTTGACAACTTTGTCCCCAAAAAAAACATTCTATTTTTTTCACGGTTGGTACTGTGCTATCTTTCTGCTCGATTTCCACAAAACTTTGACAGAATGTTGAAACCATACAAATCTAGCTTTTTGTAAGAGGAATTACTGATAAACGCGTAGGTTCTTAATCTGTGAGTTTGAAAAGCTAGATTTTTCCAGCTTTACTTTTACCGCTATTTCGCTAGAGCCGGATATGAAAGTGCCATAAAATAAAAACTAAAGTAGATATAAAAAGTTCCTCTTCCAGAAAGTTTGGTCTTTGTCTTATAAGTGTGCATGCTACGTATGAACATAATCTGTGAGTAAATAAGGTGAGAAAATTGTATTACACTACGTCTCAAAACTCCAATATGGCCGCCGTTTCCATGGTAACAGAATCAGTAAATTTTTTTAACAACTGCTAACAAATCTCCATTGCCATATAATCGTCCACACCAAATATAAGCTCCATATGAGTGGTAGTAGCTGAGATAGACTTATTCTGCTGCACCCCCTCTTTTAAAAAAAAAAAAAGCGACCCAATGTGGACTCACACGACTCTCCGTCGACCAGTTGCGACTGCGGCACTTTGAAGATCTGGATGTGTGGCGGGGAGCTGGCCCAGGCTCGAGACAGCACCACTTTGTCGGGGACCACGTGTAGCATGTGGGTCGGGCACTGGCTCTCGTACGCTCGCATACACTCGTCGCACCCTGTAATACCACATGGG